CTAAGTCCCACTTCAGACTCGCAGCCACATGCAATGATGCAAAATGTAGGAAGCTCACAGGCTGGTGGGTGCAACATCTTGTGGCTCCAGTGGGGCCGCATCACAGGGCTCCCGTAGGTTTCAGCATAGCTTCTCAAGAAGGTGAAGCAGAGAGAGGAAGGTTCCCAGAACCCTCCTTATGAAAAGGCCACACCCACAAGGAGGCACCATCTGGCTAGGACCTGATTGACAGACTAGACTCCACCCCTACACTTTTACATATCGTTGACATGAAATTATGTACCTACCACAACTAGCCATTTACACTGACACAGGGACCTTCCCTGCCTTTATCCCATGTGATTGGCATGAGAGGTGTCTAAAGCAGAAACAAGCGAGTTTAAGGTAAATGCTATTCCTTTAGACTATAGTGTGCACAAAGATCCTGCACACTTGTAATGTGAATTTTTAAAATTTTTCAAGCATGTTGAAACTCATAGTAACCATCGGATGTGTTGTGTCTCTTTTAGAAACCCTTCGCTGAAGCAGCAGCTGTTCTCATATGCTATCCTGGGATTTGCCTTGTCTGAAGCTATGGGTCTCTTTTGTTTGATGGTTGCTTTCTTGATTTTGTTTGCCATGTAACAAAAATGAATGGTTAGAGATGTTGGCATTCATACTAATTACGGAATGGATATAATTCTGTCTATCTAACTGTGACTCCGAAAACTAGTGTTGGTGTCATAGAAATGTATGTTCTTCCCAAAGTCATTTCATTAAAGATGAAAACTTTAATTTTTGCTGTGATTTGTGCTTGGCTGAGTTCGGTTCACCACAAGGAAGAGCACATAAGAGGGCAGCTGCCAGACAATTCAGGTCATGGTACAGCCATTGCCTTGATAATAGGAAAGAGCCTGATGTTATTTTATGGGAACTTTATGCTGGGTCCACCACAGTATAATTTATAGGATTTGTGTTTACTCTTATAAAGGAGAAATGTGAGTGCTTTGTCCTATCAAATATGATTAAATCAATAGAGATTGCCTATAATGGTTTTGTGTCTTATAAGAGATAACATGAATAATAATACTTGGAAGCAGAATCCCCATCCAGGACTGGTGTGGCAGGACATATGGCTGGATCCAAAAGGAAATCACATCCATTTATTGGGAATTAAAGCCTTGTTGCACTGGAAGGGGAGGTGGGATTTTTTTGTTGTCAGTAAGTCTCACAGTAATGTGTTTATAATGAATCAAGTATATAAAGAAAATTCAGTTTAGCAGCTATAGTGTCTTGAACAAGGTAACACACCAAAAAAGTATAGTGAATTGGTTACATTTTTAAATCCCAAGTTGCCTAGAGCACTGCCTAAGGCTGGGAAGGAGGTTTGCTTACACTTCCTAATGTGGGGGGTCAAAGAGTGGGGATATGGTGCTGTCAGAAAAGGAATGAGGTTTCCCCCTAACAAATGCAGTGCACTAATTTGTCATTTGCCCTCTCAGTTTCAGGGCTTGTAGGTGACAATTAGCATCTTAATCTTCAGTTCCCGTTCCCTAATTTGATTTCTGCTGCAGAAGAAAAATCAGGATGGATGCCTGCTTGAATCATACAAATCCCTAAGCTACCAGTGCTGGTTTGATGGCTGGAGAGTCCTAAAACTGCTTGGTCTGCAGAGCTGCTTCCAGTGGAGGGAATACCCTAAGAAATAAAGTGGAGACACTTGGCTATGGTTACATGCCCTCATGTCCCTGACCCAAAACAAGCCTTGAGGAAAGTGAATAAATTAAAGGGGGAAGGAAATGCCACATCAAAGGTTGCCATCCTTGAATATACCCTGCCACTGAATCAACACTGTCTTGTGATGTAGATCAGGCCACTGTAAGTCATACAGTTTTCACTGGCTGCTTTTCTGACACGGTCCAGCAGGCCTGCTGAAAGCTGTTCATAGCATCACACCCAGCCCTCTAGTGACAGGCCATGGCTTGTCACAAGGTGTGCTGGCCGGCACTGCAGAGCTCCTGCTGGAGGTTAAGAACTCTACTTCTGAGCCACCAATGCCTTATATCCCGCAATTTTTATTTTTGCAACAAACTCTCGACCTATATTTATGACCAGGTATATATGGGCTGGGAATGACAAGAAATGACGGGTCAGTGCAGTTTCAGACAGCAAATAAGGTAGTGTACAAAAAAAAATTTTTTTTCAACAGACTAGATTGGGTTAGGAACATCTGGCGCACTGTCCCCCTGGTCCATAGAAAGCCCTTGAAATCATCAATAGCTAACATCACACGCCGCACCAAAAAGAAGCAGTTCCAGACATCACCTTAGGGGTGAGTTAGGTAAATGACCACATAGCACGCTAGTTTAATTTTAATTTTGCATGGCCCACAAATGATGTTGAAAAGACCAACTAATAAAAAATATCTAAATGGCCCTTGGCAGAAAAAAGGTTCTGCACCCCTAGGCTGGACAATCAGTAGCAGGTCAGTTCACTGAACAATACCATGGGTTTGATCAGGTGCATCTTACTATGCAAAGTGCTATCTTGGCTATTTAACGTTTTAAAGAGATATTGTGCAGCGTATTTGCTCAAGGTAATAGGTCATTTGATTTCCTAACTGTTTCTTTGGGTATTGATGGTGGTTAAAGTAAAATGAAATCCATGACTTCAATCTTTTCACCAAAAATTGTGATACTGCTTATGGCCTCAGTTGCGAAGTTATTTTCTATATTTTGAGTTGCAGTCCATGTCAAAGCCTACAGTCTTTGCTCCTCATCAGCAAATATTTCAAGTCTTCTTCACTTTCATTGGCATATTAACAGGTCCTTAATGAGTCTTCCTTTGCTACAGAAGTTTTTTTTATGTGTATACTGCTCTTCTCCCTCTTGAGTCTCCAGAGAAGACTTGTTTACAGTTGAAGCTTCAAAGCATTGAGTTTATAGGTGACTGGAGAGACTATATCAAAGGTCACTGGAAAAAGTATTAGCATAAGGGTCCAGATAAGTCCATCTAACCAGAAATCTCTTATTTTCTGGCTTACAGAAACATACTAGAACTAATAATACTTACCTAATACGAGATTATATGTACCAAGTGAGTTCTGTTTATAATTGTTGCATGGGACACAGTGATAGATAATACTAGTATGTATTAGGCACTTGGTTGTCCTCTACCAAACGTCCTTCTCCACGGACTGGTCTCTCCTGATAACATGCAAAGTACGTGAGAAAGTCTCGCCATCCTTACTTCTAACGTGCATTCTGTGTACTCTTCCAGGGCAGTCTATGGTACTTTTAATATTCTTCACCAGCAACACAATTCAAATGCATTGACTCTTCCATCTTATTCAATGCCCATTTTCCCCATGCACGAGAATTGAACATACCATGGCGTGGGTCCAATGCAACCTTGTCCACAAAAGAACATCTATGCTCATCAACACCTTAAAGAGGCTCTGCAGCAGATTTAGCCAACGCAATTCATCTTTTCATCTCTTGACTGCTACTTGCATGAGCATTGATTGTGGATGGCAAACAAGGCAAAATCCTTAGCAACCTCAATCTTTTCATTATCATGAAACCTATTGGTCCAGTTGTGAAGATTCTGGTCTTTACATTGAGTTTTAATTCATACTGAAGGCTGCAATCTTTGATCTTCTTCAGCAAGTACATCAAATCTTCACTTTCAGCAAGGTTGTGTCATCTGTATATCTCATTAAAAAGCCCTCCAATCCTGATGCCATATAGCTTCTCTGATTATTTGCTCAGCATACCAATTGTATAAATGAGAGGACACAACCCTAAAGCACACCTTTCTTGATTTTAAACCACAGTATTCCACACAATATTCCCTTGTTCTGTTTGCACAACTGCTTCTTAATCCATGAGCACAATGAAGTGTTCTGGAAAACCCATGCAAGGCTACTTATTGTTTGTTATGGTCCACACAGTCAAATGCCTTGGCATAGTCAATGAAACACAAGTAAACATTTTTCTGGTATGGTATTCTCTGTTTTGAGCTAAGATGCATCTGATATCAGCCATGATATCTCTGTTCCATGTTCTCTACTGAATCGGCCTGAACTTCTGGCAGCTCCCTGAGAATGTACTGCTACAACCATTTTAGATGATCTTCAGCAAAATTTTACTTGGCTGTTGTGGTAGTTATGATTTCATGTCAATTTGTTAAATGGAAGTATAGGATGGAATCTAGCCTGTCAATCAGGTCACAGCCTGATAGTGCCTCCTACTGGGTGTGGCCTCATAAGGAGGGTGCTGGAAAACTTACCTCTCTATCTGTTTCCACCTTTCTGTTGATGAGCCATGCTGAGACCTGCCGAGCCGTGATGCGGCCACTACCATTGGATCCACACGACTCTGCACCCACTGGCCTGTGGTTTTCCTGCATTCTGCATCATTGTATGCATCTACATGAGTCTGAAGAAGGATTTATGGAGTAGTATTGGACTTATGCACTTGAGTTGAACTGGGCTGGGTTGTTTTCCTGATATACAATTACTTCTTCATATAAACTCTTGTACATATATGAGTGTCTCTGGATTTGTTTCTCTAGTCAGACCGGCCTAACATACACATGATATTAAGGATATTGTTCTATAATTTGTACATTCAATTGGCTCATCCTTCTTTGGAATGGGTAAATATATAGATCTCTTCCAGTCAGCTGGTCAAGTGGTTGTCTTAGAAATTTCCTGTCATAGACCAGTGAGTGCTTCCAGTCCGTCATCAGCTTGAAGAAACATTTCAATTGGTTTTTCCATCAATTCCTGGAGCCTTGTTTTTGGCTAATGCCTTCACCGCAGTTTGTACTTCCCCCTTCAACACCATTGGTCCCTGATCACTTGGACATTAAGAGGATGTCAAATTCGATAACTAAAATATTCTGTAAAAGATTTCTAAAGTCTTCCATGAAATCAACAAAGGGCATTTATCAGAACATTGTATTTTATCATAAGATTTATACTGTCTACCTATATGTAAGGAGCACTGGTGGAATAGTGGGTTACACCAGGACTCTGTGGGAGAAAGATGAGGTTAGTTCTACTCATCCAAACAGTTTCAGACTCAGAAAAGCACACAAGGGCAGTGCTACTCTGGCTTATAACGCTGCTATGGGTCTGATGGCAGTGAGTTTTGGTTTCCATGTATATAAGGTAATTGAACAATTTCTCAGGAGATACATGAGTATTTAGATAATGAAAATTTTACAATGGACTTATTTTCCATTTCCCTTTAGATTGACTTTAAGAAAGTGATTGCTATTGTTATGACTCACAAGACAAACTTGCTTGTAGGTAAAATTTGGTATACCAATTATGTATGCATATCTTAATATGAGAATTGAACAATTCCACAAAGAAATAAAATTATGTTTTAAACAATTTTTACATGATAAATATAATTTCCTTTCTTATTTTGGATCACTAGGTATAATTATCTAATACTCAGTTCTTGCTTGTGGACCACCTAGGGATGCTCCAGTAGCATTATGATCATGTGATTCATGACATATCTGGTCCTGTACTGTGCAAAGAAAACCAAAACCTGTCTTCAGATCGAGCATACATCCTTGTATTTGTATCATGCTCTTTGCGACTGCTCTTGCTCCCATCTGGTAGCAGCCATGGTCCTATGAACTGTGAAAATGCAGCATCAAAGGGCAGAAAGTGAGTGCACAAGTTTTTGTTTGGGGGCTTTTTTCGCTAGTTTTAAGTATAATTTCAAGACTGAAAACACTCAGGAATCTGGGAAGGGTACAACAAAGAAATGAAA